TGTCATGTAGAAACATGAGGCGAGACGCCCAAATTCCTGGCGATTATGCAGTATTACATAACCTCAGTCAGTCTGCAACGGCCGACATAGCCACAGTCTGCTTAAAGCGGCGCTGGTGAGCCACCAGCTGGGAGCTATTGAGGCGCGCGATGGCGTTTGGGGCGGTCTTATCCAACCGTAATTCCCCAGTGACACGCAGGGATTTGAACCTGCTTTCGTGTGGAAGCGTTGCCGAGTCCGTCCTAGAGCAGATACAGCTAGACACACACCTGGCCCATAGCCTGTGGCAGGGCAAATTGCTGGAGGGTTTCCACTAGAACGAGTGCTGGCGCCCAAGATCTGGACGGTCCCCAGCAACCCTCCCGTCCAGAGTGAGTCCCGAGTCCGACCCATGCTGAGCTCATCTCCAGGTCTGTTCCCATTTCGACATCGTCGCTCTGCTTTTCCGTCTCTCCAATCTCTTCCTGCCTTGCTCCCCGCGTTTGATTGTGAGGCTACCAGCGAGCATTGCATGGTTTTCCCACGAGAATAGAGAGCCTCGACACTCCTTAACTAACTGGCCCAAGGCCAAGGTACGTGACACACTTTTCCACGCCTGCATTCGTCGTTGTATTTTTTTTTGCTATTCGCCATGGGCAGCACCCAAACCTCATCCGGTGGCCGTGAAGCCGGAAAGAGTCTGCACTGCAGCCACGGGCAACACAAGATCTGCCCGCTGCGAGACTGGTCATGACGTGGCCGGCGTTCTTCCCTAGTCCCATCTCTTGTCCCTGTGCTACATATTCCCTTGAACGCATGCACACACGCTTCCGCGCCATTTACCCATCGTGACGGGCATGGTGATGCAGCAGTAGCTAACAGAGACTCGGACGTCCAGGGACCCCTAGACCACTGCATCGAGGACATCAGTTTCGACCGTCAAAATGTCGTCCCCCTCTGCCGCCACCAGCGAGGTGGTCCCGACTTCGAATGTCGTACCAACATCTGCGGCAACATCTGCCGCTGCTCCTTCGACCTCGGCAGCGGCTCCATCTTCCGCTTCTCAGCCTGCTACCTCGCAGCAGCCAACTTCAGCGGCCCCGACAACATCGGCGGCACAGCCAAGCACTTCGGCCCCGAGTCAAGCGCCCTCCAGTTCGGCGCAGCCATCAACATCCCAGGCGCCAACCTCAGCAGCTCAACCGTCGACATCCAACCCAGCAACTTCTGCACCAAGTTCTTCAGCCGCTCCTTCGTCAAGTGCCCCCGCCAGTAGCCAAGCTCCCGTCACAAGTAGCGCCGCGCCGAGCACCTTTGTGACCACAATTGTTCCAACGGATGGCGGAAGTACGCAGACCAGTGTAGTGGTCGTAACCAGCACAATCAATGGGGGTTCTGGCAGCACGACATCTTCCACGACATCTTCCACTTCCAACCCTTCCCTGACACCCGGTGACTCGTCAGGAAGTGGCAGCTCGGGTCTCAAGACTGACGCCAAGGTCGCCATTGGTGTTGTGGTCCCCATTGTAGGCATTGCTTTGATTGCGATTGCCGCCCTGTTCTTTTGGAGGAAGCGAAAGGCTCGACTTGCTGCCGAGGAGGAACGCCGCAAGGAGGTTGAGGATTACTCGTACAACCCTAATGCTGATCCCACGATTCCCGGTGTCGTTGATGGTGGGTATGAGATGAACGAGGATACCTCAGGGGGCTACCGAGGCTGGGGCACCACCACTTTGGCCAGCTCCAACGGTCGCAAGGCCTCGACGACGCTGTCGGGAGGCAAGAACGCCTACTCTGATCCTTCATCCCCCACACAAGCCCCCATTGGCGTGGCACGGTCCGATAACATCTATTCTCCGGACGGAGAGATCTTGGGGGCCATGAACGGCAACACTGGCAACAACCGCGCCGTGGGTGTCGACCGTGGGCCTTCCAATGCTTCATCCTCCTACAGCGCTGCGAACCGATCAGATGGTTCCGACCTACAGGGCGGTGTTTCATACGGACAGGGCGCGACGTACTATGACGTGCAAGATCAAGAACCTTATACCGATGGCCATTATCATGACGCGCCTCCACAGCCCGTCATCCGTGATAATCCGGCTCGCCGCAACACGCGCATTGAAAACACATCTCATTATCCTCAACAAAGCGCGGGTATCTCCCAGAATTTCTAACCGAAACTCGACGATTTCCTTTTGCTTCTGGTCGATTATGGCGTTCAGGTTTCAACGACTCTTATCCCTCGTAACTCGTTTTTAATACACCCAAAAACCGCTTGTCTATGCACCACCTCCCAAAACGAGACGGTGTATGCGCCTTTCGTTCGGTATCTCCTTACCCATCTGTTGCGGAACTGTGGTGCTTCCAGCTTGCGCCACATTGTACAGGCTTCCGTTGTTCCACAGGGCGGATTTTCCTTCTGAACTCGATCCTCATCTCCCAATGGGACGTCACATATTACGATCATCAATCACAAAAAACCTAGAATTGGGTATATATCTTCGCCCCTATCACTTTCCTTTTTGTCTGTGCGCGACAATTTAGTCGCGCTCATGGGTTGGCATAGCGAGGTCTACTGTGATTTTCCCCCTTGTTTCTAATCAGTCTACTACCCCGATATACGCGTCTTTCCTTTTCTAGTACTCTCTTTTTTCTAATCTTGTTGATGTTGAAGACAATTGGCAGCACCAATGTTTGATAGCTTGGATAGTACCGAAGTCTATGTTGGCGAAGCTACGAGGTGGAATGTGTGCGGAACAGCAGTGTATTGTTTTCGTCGATACGAATTTAAACCCCGAGATCTACCACGTACATATGTTTTCGTTGATCGTTTCCTAGTGATGTTTCTTGTGGATGCTCATTATCATTGTTGGTATGAGGATGCCCGAGACCTTGAATTACCCCTGAGACGCACCCTTTGCCGTCTCGTGTTTTAGTACGCCTCACTCACAACTCCCGCATTCCCGTCGCCCTGACTCAATTCCATTCTGTCCCACCAGAATCTGCAGACTTCCCTCTCCCTTTCCGTCAGCGTCCTCGTCTGCACCCGCACGCCTGCATTCTCACCTCCCGAGACTTCGTCGTTACCCTGACCAAACACGAGCAGTTTCCCCTTGGCTTCGTCGCCGTCGTCGCCGCCTGCACCAAACGGCGTCACGAACAGGGGCCACCTGTCGCCAGCGAACACGCCGGTAGGGGACGCCGCGAACTCCGCCCAGCGGGAGTGCATCTCCGCGCTCACGGCCTCCAGCCCCGGAAGCTCGGCGCCCAGCGTCGAGCGGGTGACCAAGTCGGAGTGGCTCGCGTGCGAGGCCGCGCGGTGGGCCTCGGAGACGAGGGCTGCGAACTCGTAGAGGTAGACCTTGCCGCCGAGCTTGGATATCATGTGGGCCGTGTGGATGATGGGGCAGATGTAGGCGTAGTCGCCGTACGCCAGGCCCAGGCGGCGGACGAGGTCTGCGCGGCGGCCTGCTGCTGCATGGTCACCGCTGGGAGGGTAGAGGGCCTCGAGGGCCTCGAGGTCAGCAACAGTTAGGGAGGGTATGAGCTTGGTGAAGAAGGAGCGGAAGTCGCTGCAGGTTTCTGATATGAAGTCGATGCCCTCGCTGGTGCAGAAGCCGGTTATGACGGCGGCTGGGAGCGGGCTGGTTTCACCCCTCCCGGCTTGGTCAGAAGAAGAAGAAGAAGCCTTTAGTTGCCAGAGGTTGAGGGGCAGGTCTGGTATGATGCCCCCAGGACCGTCGACAACGGGTTGGAAAGGCCAGGTGAGGGACTCTGCGTGCTTGGAGAAGACGTCGAGGCCGGCGTTGAGCAGGAAGTTGACCTTGACGGTCCGGGGAGGGGTTACGACTGGGAGCATGCTGGAGCGGACACTGTCGAGGTTGGCGGCGGTGCGAGGATGGGAAGCTGAGAGCACGGAGCGAGCTGTAGGCGAACCGGACTCAAGTATGACCTTATGGAAGGGCAGGGGAGATGGGTTCAGCATGTGATGGCCAATCTAGTGGGGTTGTTAGCCAACATAATGGATGATCACAGTAAGTAGACGAACCGAGTGTGCTCCTGCGCTCACGCCTCGTAGAGTGATGAGGGCTGGATCACCGCCAAAGACTGGGATCCATGAATGCGCCCATTCCACGGCCAGTCTCTGGTCCTTGAGCCCCAGGTTGGCCTCCCCCTCGCCAGCTAGGAACCCCAGCACGCCGAGCCTGTAGTAGATGGCTACAACGATGATGTCCTTCTGGGCATGGGCGACGAACGAGACCGAGTCAGTCTCCGAGGGGTCGCCGAAGTTGAAGGCTCCGCCGTGGAAGTAGATGATGACTGGGAGCGGCTGCTGCGACGCCGTCGACGGGCGTGTGATATGGAGCCGCAGCGTGGAAGTTGTGCAGTTGGGGTTTGGGCCGGCATACTTGATCCGTGAAGCATCCAATCTCGTACCCGAGGTCTGAGAGCCCAGTGGCAGTGGACGAGCTTGGGAGAAGCGATCCGTGGAGGCATAGGGGATATTGTAGAACGCTTCAACTGGCCTTGGGCAGGCGGCTGAGGCGGCCGGTGAGAACCGAGTACCTATGATTAGGCAGCCATTTACCGCGATCGTTGGGGAGGATATCGCTTGCATGCTGGAATGCCTGTAAAACGAATGAGATGGCGAATTTTGAAAAAGGCACAAAAGGCGGCGCGGTCAGAGTGAGTGAGACCAGTTGATTTATGCAGGACGAGGCTCGCTGTGGGTTTGGATTGGTTTAAGGGAAGAGCTGGGCTTCCCCCGCTCTTGGGTGAATGAATCAAGTAATGTGTATTACACGAGATATGAAGGACGCCGAATAATATCATCTCGGGCACCGGGATTTTGCTTTAGGCAGCAAGTCATGTTGGACTGGATCATAAGGCGTTCATATACTATATACAATGATCATTAAGGTAGTGCCTATTGGTGCCTGCTGCTAGCACTTTCACCGTTGCCGCATGCTGTGCATGATGGTAAATAAATACATGTAAGAAATACAGATATAGCACCGCTACCGGAACCCGCTCTTCTTCTTCGGTTTCTTCGTCTTCTTCCGATCTCCAAACACACCCGAGACGGGCTGGCTCATGGTGAAGCCCATTCCTTGACTTTGTGAAGAAGCAGGAACTTCCTGGCTTGACATAGGTATCTGTTTGTGCCCTGTTTGTAGCGAAGGGAGACCGCCGCTGTCTTCCGCCTGGCTGGATAGTAGTTCCTTGCGCATGATGGCTGGCCGCTTGTACTTCTCCGCCATGGATCGCCGCTTGGCCTCAATCTTTTGTAGCCGCTGCTTTGCCTCGTCGTGCTGGCTTTCCGAGGCAAGGAGCACACTGGACGTGTAGTGGCTTGGGTCTACGCCTCGCTCGGCGGGCCAGTATGAGAGGACACTGGCCGGCTTAGAGGCGCCTAGTTTCCCTGGCTGGACGCCGGGTGCCAGCAGTTGCAGTCTCTGAATGGCCGCATCAGGGTCCGGAGTCCGGCTCATGATTGGAGAAGAGGACGGGATTGAGCTGGGCAATGGGGATGACCGAATAGATGCTGGAGCGAGCGACTCTGTCTGCGTTTCCTGTGTAGCCGTAGAGCCGAACAGAGGCACATCCTGCACAGCAGTGCCTTGTGTAGCAAGAAAAAGGTCCTTTCCCAGCTCGGTTATCCAGTTATGTCTCAACGCTAGTTCTTTCCTAGACATCTTTTCTCTCAATGGCTCGAGCCATATTCTCGATAATTGGTCCCTTGGTTGGGACCACCAGCCGACTGCAGGAGGCGGCGCACCTGGTCTCTTGCATCGAAGCTGCGTAACGACTACTTCATCTCTGAATTTGGCGACCAGAGCCTCTAGATCTTCATGAGTGGCCTCGCTGATCCCAGACTGGTCTATGGCACCCTCATCTAGGATGTTACTGATCTCAAGCCTTGGTTTCAGTTAGCTCTCCGAAAGGGATATCTGAGGTAACCATTTAGACAAAGCAGGGGAAATTCTTACCAGGTAAATAGGGGTAACCTCCCTGAAGAGAGTCCTTGCTGAATAATGTCTTGTACACTGTCAAGAAGAGCAACCGGTAGGCCTTTCGAGTCTTGGTCTGAATAGCGAAGTAATGACATTCGAATATGTCGAGCAATGATATCGAATCTCAGCGATATTGGCCCATGAGCAGCATTGAGATCTCTACCCTTGTGAGCTCTATTTTGCGCTGCGCTTCTTGCCTGAGGGTGGGAATCGAGTAGCTGCATATCCATGTATGACATGGAATCAGGTAGTATGAATTTGTCTCCCATATGACGTAGAAGTTTGATTCTTTTCTTTCTCCATCGTCGATTTTGATCTTGCGGTGTCCATTTCAGTCGAGTGGTAGGAAGGGTCACCTCTAGTGTGGGATCTTGAATGCTAAAGCAGATGCAGTATTTGACGCTCAAATCCTGACCCAAGATCATGCCTTGGTAGAATTGACATCCATTTCTTAGATACAATGACCCAACACCCTGCCCCGGTGTCAAGGATTCTAGAAGAACAGGATGTAAGATGAACGTTTGGAAATTGGACTGTGCCCTGTTTGAGTCTGTTCTGGGCAACTGTGTCAATTGACTGTGCCACTTGGAGAGGCCTTTCTCGGGAGTGAGAGTAAACCACAACAACTCGAGCTGTAAATCTTCAGAAGAGCAGACAGCTATCATAACGTTGTCTTGCTCATCAGTCGTGATATGGCTGATGTTCATTCTCATGCCTTTCTTGGCGACCGAGCTGTGCGGGCAGGTTAGGATGATGGATGGCGTGAATACCTGGTCAGATTCAGTGTCCAACGGAAAGACGTCAATCCAGACGATGAACCTTTCGGTCATGACGAATATGTGTCGTCTGTTTGCTGGACTCATCTGCACGTCGACAATGTGTCCGAAATTTGATGTGGCGGATGAGAAGTCTGGAACTTGGACCACCACTTGGTTTGCCTCAACGTCGACGATGTTTAGACGCTCTCTATTCCACAGAAGGAGATGCCTTGAACGTAAAGTTGGGCCCTGCTCGCTTTCGAACCCAGCAAACGGGTCGTTTGTGATATTGACCACATCAGTTGACCCAATAAAGAGGGCCCCGTGTACCTCGGCGGGATATAAAGGCACCGCTGGTATTTCACCTAGAGATCCTTCCCATATGTGACCGCATTTATATGGTGTTAGTCGTAAAGCGGTCGCAGTCCGTCCCAATTTGCCATGGATGTTCCAGAGTGTCCAGTAGCCACATTCATCAACAACACAGAGCTGAGGGGGTGAGCTGTCTGCAGGGACGTTAAAAGTTACATCCGCGTGCGCGTTTCCACCCGTCTCGTGGTGCCACAGAGTCAAGATTGGGTTTGCCTTGATCCGGGAAGAAGATTGCCCTTGGCCAGAAGAGGTATTCCGGGTGGTGCTTAGGGGAATAGGCTGGTACTCGGGCTGCAAAATGACCGTAGATGTTTCCTTCTGCACAATGATCCACCTTATGGCCTCGTATCGCGAACCAGCGCTGGATACGTATTTGACTTGGGAGATGGGTAATCCATCGCTTTCCCATATAAGCTCATCGTCCTGGTCTACCGGATCTATAACAGAAAGATGGAGAATACTATGTTCGTCTTCATCCCACTTCCACTTTGAGTCCTCAATACGGGCGAGACGTAAAAGCTCGCCAGACTCTCCGGTTACAGCTGCAAGGACTGGGATATTCACAGGCCTAACAGGCTGGCTCCAGTCGACCATCTCGGCCATTACAAGCAGAGGCCGTGAACTCAATGTATCATCGAGTTTCTGGAACCGGTCAATGTTCTCAGTCAGGAGACCCGAGACGACCGAATTTCCCAGGAAAGCTTCAGGATGCGACTTAAGCAACCATCGCTTGTGGATGTTCCGCTCTACCCCTAGTCGAGAAGCATTTTGGCCTGACAGTTTAGATCTGGAAGGCGGATAGAGCTCTGCTGGCTTCCCGAGGGATTTGAAATAAAGGACTGTAAAGAAAAAGTGTTAACACGGTGTAACCTGACTTTTACTGTACCTTACGGGAGAGAAAACGACCTACAATCTGAAGTGCAACGGGATGTATGAAGCGCGCCAACATTGCCATTGGTTAAGTCTCGAGGAATATAGGTCAATCGCCCTGCCTGACCGTATTTACGGTCGGCGAACCGCCGTGCTTCAGCCATTGGATCGATACCAGGATATCCGGAAGTGCCAGAACCAAAATGCAGACAAGCTCTTCCGCATGGCGACTATGTCTAGGACAGGAGGCTATAAATTGTACACTCGCGGCAAATTGTAGATTGTGCAGGAGATGGACTGGGAATCGGCCATTTAGCTGTATGAAGAATGGCGCTGAAGTTATGTAACTAAAGTTGAAATGAAGATTCTCATATGAGTTGAGAACTGAGCTTAAAGAGATGAAATCGTGTGGCGGGTGTGGCTGGGGAGCCATTTGCGCCACACTTGGAAAAAGAAATATGTTGGCTCAGCAACCGCCCGCCGCAACCTAAGATCACCTTAGCATAAACACTGGCGGCACTCGTTTGCGACAAGGCGGCTAACATCACCAATATCACGGCGACGAAACCAAGCACAAAAGTTTGACCTATTTTGAGTGTCATATCACCGTTTAGCATGGCGACCGCTTTCGAATCCTCTCTATCGAGCAGCCAAACCCGCCAGACTCTGGCGCCGGCAGGCCCCTCAAATGACTATACCCTGCCCAACATTGATTTCGGCTTCGATGAACTGCGCGACCGTATGGCGAAGTTCACTGCCAAGTTCGATACGTTCATCGAGCAAGGGCGAAGGCGTGTATTAGAGGAGCGCAATCAATTCCGCATGAACATTGCCGAGCTACAAGGTAATAGCAAACCCGTGAAATAGAGACGACAGACCATCCCGCTAACAATCTTTCTCAGAGGACCAGCGCATGAAGAAGAAGGACATCGAGATCGTCCAGGTTAAAACGTCAACACACCAGCAAACGATAGAGAAGGAAGACGCCGAGACACGCGAGATGGAGGCCGCGATTGCGTCGCTGGCCGCGCAGCGGGACAATCACCACGCGAACCGCGACGCCCTCAAGGCGCAAATCGCACAGGTCCAGGCAGAGATCGACACGAGGCTGGCAGCGCAACGGGAGTACGCAGCGCAGCAGGAGGCGCAGTCGAGGTTCAACGTCCCCGAACTTGACTTCTGGATCACGAATCTCTGCCTGCGGATCGAGGGCGCCGGCCACAACGACAGGTTAAAATTCATCTACACCCATCTCGACGAGAGGGACTGGGAGCGGGAGGCGTGGTTCGAGCTTGTCACCAGCTCGAGAGACTACGACGTGAAGCACTGCAGGCCCAAGTTGGAGAGAGAAAAGGTGGAGCGCGTGTTAGATAGGGTGAATGAGTCGCGAGAGCTCGTCACGCTGTTGAAGGGGATGAGGGAGCTTTTTGCTGAGGCGATGAAAGCATGAGGGGGTGTTTGTGGCCCTGGGGCGAGATGATAATGAATTGTTCACATATACACCACTACAACTAATGTAACGACTATGATCAACTTATGACTGTTTGAGAGTACGGCACGATTGAAGTAATATAATTAAGAAGCTCTTTTCATTCATAAATCCATGCACGTGACAGGCTGCTTGAACAACTTCGAGGACTGATTTCCGGCGTCGGAAAGGTGGGGCGAGATACGCGACGGTCTTAGTTGCACGCTGGAACACACCTAGAAGTCTGAACGCGTCCTTCCATCAACCGTCTGGAAGCTCAGCGAGACAGACACACCAGATCTATCAGTCGAGCCTCGCCAGCATAGAAAGCCCAGGATGCCCCCCGAAACAACAGACAAGCATGCCGCTGCCCAACAAGCCGTGGATATTCTCCACGAGATCTCAACAATTCTGGTCCGTCTGGCTATCCGAGTCCTGCTCTCGATCCATCAAAGCCCCGCACACTGACACCCCACCAGAACTGCCACCTAGACCGCCGGACTCTATCCATTTGTATCTCAATGATTGAGCGTGGTGTGAACCCCGAAGCCTTAGCTGTAAGACTATCTCCAGGGTAAACGAGAACATCTGAAATGCATCGGAATGCTGACGACTTGGGTTATAGCAAGTGGTCAAGGATCTACGACAGGAGGCTCAAGCAGTAGAACAGCAAGCCGCCACTAGGCAATGAAACTTTTATGAAACTTTGGCCTTGAATTACGGAAACTGATGGTTGAATGATATTTCAATGAATTTGACAGGTGTTGGGTGTTGATTAAGGAACATCTTGCAGTAAATATAAACACAGGTTCATAAACTCACTGGGAGGAAGATTCACGTATATTATATTGTTTGTCCAAGAACCAACCTATCGCTTGCTTGCTAAAACTGATAAAAACCATAAAAAACCTTCACCCCTCCCCATTAGCTTCCGAGCAGCGCAGGCAAACTCCTAGATTTTATGCAATTTTCCCATGCCTTCCCATCAAACATTAGAAGACTGTTAGCTCATATCGTATCATGATCCCCATAGACGCCAATTTCATATTTTGCTCCAGTAACAACCAAAACGCCCTAGTATGGAAAAGACGGCATAAACCAAAATTTATCGATGCCCAATGAGAATTAGATCGTTTTCAATATCATCGTCGTCGTCCTCTTCCTCAGATTCACTTGCATTACTCGAGTCGTCTTGATAATCCGAATCGTCGTCGTCGATTGCTCCGCCCCAGAATCCTAGCATACCGCCTTCAGACTCGCTATCTGATGGGATCTGGCCCAAATGAGAGTCGTAGCGAATGGTTATGGGCGGGAAAGAGCCCACGATGATTTCCGACGCTCTCCGCTGCAATTCAATGCCCCTGGACGAATGCCTGCGCCTGCCTGCTATCGATACGCCGTCACGGGACTCAGTGATGGGGGCGGTTGCGACACTAGGTTGAGCTGCGTCTGGTCCAGCCTCCTCTGACGTTTCTGCAAGAGCAGCTTGAAGTTCGCGGCTCGTACCTCCGAGTATCTGAAGTTCTGCCGTGTTGTAAGACCGACAGATGGAGCATTTTAGCCCAAGCCAGTGGTAGGGAACGGTGCTTCTTCCCGAGCAGTCGTTGCATAATATAACTGCCTTGGTATCTCGAAATTCCGGTGGCATCGGTTGTCCTTGAATAGCCACATCCAGGTTTCGGAAATGTGTCTCCATATTGGCGAGGCTCTTGTTGCATATGGGACATTTGTAAGACGATCTCATGTGCTGGTCGTAGCACTTCTTATGAATGCTGTGACCACACGCCATGAACACTACAGGGCGAGGAGAGGAGAACATGTACTCTCCGCAGATTGGACAATCACAATCTGTAGAGCGCTCTATGCACTTGTGTGACAGTTCAATGGAGGTTGGGATGCATGCGCAGCACGTCTATGAGGAGGTTAGAAACGATGTAGAAGAGCGATGTGAATTGGGAACATTTTACCTTGCAATGGACATAATCCTTTCCGAGTCCAAAGCCGCGCCTGCATATGCCGCAATCGCTACAGTGATAAATCGGTTTTGATTGGCGATTTTCCCAGAGTTTGCATACACCACAATAGTAACTCGCGGCAAGTTCACCACAGTTGATGCATACATCAGAGACCTTTTGTGGTGTCTCACAGAGCATGCATAGCATGTGTTTTGTCTCAAACCGAGGCAGATTGTGGTCTTCTTCATTGTCATGACATAGGCGGCATGGATACCACTTGTCGCATGTGGCGCATTGAAGTTTCACATTCCGTTCATAATGTGGACAACCGAGTTGAGGAACCGTTTCAGTTACTGATGAAAGAGCAGGTTCGATATGGGGTGTCTCTATCCCAGAAGTCTTAGGCCGACGTACTGGGGCAAAGCTGGGTGCTCTGTCGAGCTCTGTGAGAACAAAGTCGGCCGGCGAAGGCCCTAGAGCTTCATGTGGTTGGTTCTGCCAGAACTTCAGAGACTCGAGAGGTCCTTGAGGTGAGGGAAGTTGTTCTGGTCTTTGGACTGGAGATCGGGGGGCTTCGGGAGTCTTCGCGCCCTGTGGAGTGACTCTTGAGGAATTGTAGTTCTCTAATAGTGCATCATGCATGAGCCTCGCCTTCTCCGGAGCCTCAATATCACGGGCATGTATAGCATGTATCCGTTTTCTCAGCTCACGCATGCCGTCGTCCTCCGGGATCAAACTGTTCCTTCGTTTACTTATTGGAAAGCCCAGGTGATCAGTGGGGCTGCCGTCGAGGACCATGGGGGTTGTACGAGGAGGGGTTTGGGCTGGTATGGGCTCCTCCACTCTGGTTTCTTGTGTCGATGAGCTCAAGGGGCGTAAGGTCGCGGACTCGGAGGAGACAACCCTGGCAATTGCCGGCTCATCGTGGTGTGCTTCATCATCAGTCATGGGGTTGTCGTTGAGCTGATCGCTATCTTTGGTCTCATCTCGACTACCGCTCAGGGTGGCGCGGGATGCCTCTGAAAACCGGCGAGCCTGGCGGAGAACTGGATTTATTATGAAGTCCGAGACGAGCGATGACATTGAGTGTTGGATAGGGAGTCGTGTGCCGGTGAAGAAGCAAAGCAATCAAGCTCAGGATTAGGTGGATTTTGTCGTTGAAGCGATGGAGCAGGGTATTAGTCGCTGGGGATCGAGAGTGACGGTGTGATTAGGGGAACAGGGCTGCCAAAGGGTTGCTCGATGGGTATCCTGGAGATCGATAGACACAGATTGGGGATCACCGCCGGATATTTCTGGGGGAGCGCGGGAAGATGACATAAGGAAGAATGGTAGAATAAGACGGCGGGCTGCACCCGGACCTAGAGGGAACTCTATTGTCTCAACACCGGTGATCGGGCGAGACATGTGATCCTGGAGGCCGATGCTCTCGCCCCATGCACAAGGCAGGGTACTTGGCTACTTCCCTCTTTGTACCGGAACGACACTATCGATAACATCGACCCACCAGGCCCGCCTACACGCCTGCAGCACGCTTTCAGTAATTACGGGACGCGGTGCAGCCCTGTGGCTTGCTGGCTAGGTGCCGTTTCCACCAGGTGGCTTCTCCTGAGCTGAGCTGAGCGATTGAAGGGAGACCCTACTTTCAGACCAGACGACGGTTGTCGGCCCCTCCCTACATTACTTATTCATTTATATCTTTGTCACTTCTTCCTTTCTTTTCCCTCTCTTCTCCCCACTGGCGGCCCTACTGCCATTTTCCCTCTGTTTCACTTCCTCGTTGGGGTTGTTTTGAGTACGCTTCAGCTCGTGAAGTCGTTACAAGCCCCTTAGCTCCCCGTGAGCGTTTCCGGGCCTCCTTTTTTAGAACTTTAGGCCACCTTGCAAACAATTCCACCCTCGACCATCGACTCGACCTTCCATACGATCCCACAAGACAGGAACAATCATGGCTGCCGACAAGGTCGCAGTCGCCTCTGGCGCTGATCTTGGCGAGGGCCTTCGACAGCGTCCCGTCGCTGCTCAAGCTCCATCCGCACCCCGCGTCGTTGAACCTGAGGATGTCAAGAAGTCGCAACCGAAGGTACCACGGTCCCTAGATACTTTGGTCCTATTTCTTTAGCGTGAAGAAGCTCAGCCAGTACTGACAACCAATCTGCAGCAAAAGAGCTTCATCGATACCTTTGTGGAGTGGGAGATCATCTTTGCCCCCATCCTGTTCACCCTGGCCGCCATTGGCACTCGACTGTGGAAAATTGGTCTCAGCAACATTGTCACCTGGGATGAAGCTCAGTGAGTAACGAGACACCTTGGAAGGGCACTACGTTGTCCGTTGCTAACCGCCGTTATTAGCTTTGGTAAATTCGGTAGCTACTACATCAAGCACGAGTACTATTTCGACGTCCACCCTCCCCTTGGTAAGATGCTTGTTGGACTCTCGGGAGTTCTCGCTGGATACAATGGATCGTTCGAGTTCAAGTCTGGAGACACATATCCCGAAGAAATCAACTACACCTTCATGCGAGCCTTCAATGCCTTGTTCGGCATTGTCTGTATCCCCTTGGCCTACTTTACCGCCCGCGAGCTTCACCTCCGTCGCCCAGCAGTTTGGCTTGTCACTCTCATGGTACTTTGCGAAAACTCGTACACAACTATCAGCCGCTTCATTCTCCTCGACTCGATGCTTCTTTGCGGAACCGTGGCTACTGTCTTCTGCTGGGCTAAGTTCCACAATCAGCGACACAACAGCTTCGAGCCCGAGTGGTTCCTGTGGCTTTTCCTGACCGGCTTCAGCATCGGATGTGTGTGCAGTGTCAAGCTTGTTGGATTGTTCGTCACCGCCATGGTTGGTGTGTACACAATTGAGGACCTCTGGAACAAGTTTGGTGACAAGAAGATTCCTGCAGTATGTATCTAACCTTGCCTTTCATGAATGCTCAATTTACTAATCTCAACCATAGACCGAACTCGTTGTCCATTTCTGTGCACGTGTTGTAGGCTTGATTCTGATCCCATTCCTCATCTACCTTCTCTCCTTCGCTCTGCACTTCGCCATTCTCGACCGGACCGGCCCTGGTGATGCTCAAATGAGCTCGCTCTTCCAGGCCAACCTCAAGGGAACTGAGGTTGGCAAGAATAGCCCTCTTGAGATCGCTTACGGGTCCCGCGCTACAATCAAGAACATGGGCTATGGCGGCGGTCTCCTCCATTCTCACGTCCAGACCTACCCCGAAGGCTCCCAGCAGCAGCAGGTTACCTGCTACCACCACAAGGACTCCAACAATGACTGGTTCTTCTATCCCAACCGCAACGAGCCTGACTATGACGCCGAGTCCGACGAGCTCCGGTATCTGAGCGACGGCTCTGTTATCCGCCTGATCCATGCTCAGACTGGCCGTAACCTCCACTCCCACTCTATCGCTGCCCCCATGAGGAAGAAGGATAACGAGGTGTCTTCCTACGGTAACTTGACTGTTGGTGACGACAAGGATCACTGGAAGATTGAAGTCATCCGTGATGCTGCTTCTCGTGACCGTAGCCGAATCCGCACTCTCACCACGTCTTTCCGTCTCAAGCACACAGCGCTTGGTTGCTACCTGCGAGCCGGCAACACCAACCTGCCCCAGTGGGGTTTCAAGCAGATTGAGGTCACTTGCACCAAGGACAACAACCCCCGGGATGCCTACACACACTGGAACGTGGAGGCCCACTGGAACGAGAAGTGTAAGTTTCGCATGTCCGCCCTGCTCATGGCAACTCTATGGCTAACAAGAAACAGTGCCCCCTAGCGACCCAGGCGTCTACAAGTCCCCCTTCATTCACGACTTCATCCACCTCAATGTGGCCATGATGACATCCAACAACGCTCTCGTTCCTGACCCCGACAAGCAAGATGACCTGGCCTCTCAATGGTGGCAGTGGCCCATTCTCCACGTTGGTCTCAGAATGTGCAGCTGGGATGACAAGATCGTCAAGTACTTCCTCCTTGGAAACCCCTTTGTCTACTGGGGCTCAACTGCAGCACTCGGCCTGGTTGCCCTCGTTGTCGCCTGGTATCTGGTGCGATGGCAGCGGGGTTACAAGGATCTGAACAACACCGAAATTGACCAGATTCATTACTCTGCCATCTACCCCGTCATTGGATGGTTCCTACACTACCTGCCATTCGTCATCATGGCCCGTGTTACCTACGTGCACCACTATTACCCTGCCCTTTACTTCGCCATCCTTTCCTTCGGCTTCTTGGTGGACTGGCTGGTAAGGAACCGCAACAGTGCACTGCAAATCGCCGTTTACGGTGTTTTATACTCGGTCATTATTGGCCTGTACATTCTTTTCATTCCTATCTGCTTCGGCATGACGGGTCCCAACAGGGACTACAGCTACCTGAAGTGGTTTGACACATGGAGAATGAGTGACTAAAGCCACTCGTTCCACGTGAGACTAACTTCTCGGCAAGCATTCGGCTTGCCGAAGGTTGTGCTACTGGGGACGCTAACAGATCAGAGATTTGTGTAACAGACAGCATGGGAGCGATGCATGTCCTTTGTAAAAGCTATTAAAATGGGAACTATGGGGAATATTTCATTATCAATCTCGGGGACACCATGTCTGCATCGGAAGAGGGAAGAGGGAACAATGACACTAGGATGTACTCTGTACCTAGTGCTAGACGAAACATCTCCTTTTAATAATTTTTTCTTGGCCGGACAGCGGCTTGGCTAGACAATGTGTTATTATGCATTACTGTACAAATTCGGATACTTGGTGCCTGAAGGATATGACGTAGTGGTGCCCAGATAAAAATTAAGATATCTCATGAACGGCGAGGCTGGAGAAAGGCCTATCATGCCGGTTGTTTGAAGAAATCGGAAAAGCTCAGCAGCAACCCCCGGCGTTTGACTGGCTCGGGTCGTTGGACACCTTGACCTGGCCTTTGTTGCCAGCGCCAGGGCCCTTGACGCCCGACCTCCGATCGTTGAGGTCGTACTTGCCCGCCTGTATGTTCTGGTATATCCTCTCGGCGACCCTCATGAAGGCCTTCTCCACGTTCTCGCCGCTCTTGGCGCTCGTCTCGACGTACTCCATGACCCCGTTCCGCCTCGCCCACTCCTCGGCCTCCTCCCGCGTGACCTCGCGCTCGTTCTTCTCCTGCCGGGCCAGGTCGGCCTTGTTCCCCACGAGGATGACGACGATGTCGGGCTCGGCGATCTGGCGCAGGTCGTTGAGCCAGTCGGTGACGTGCTGGAAGGTCTGCCGCCGGGAGAGGTCGAAGACGAGGAGGGCGCCGCTGGCGCCCCTGAAGTAGGACCTCGTGACGGACTTGTACGTCTCCTGGCCCGCGGTGTCCCACAGGCTGAGCTTCATGTGCTTCTGGGGGGTGTCGCGTGGGGGCTCCGGGAGGCCCTCGAAGGCGGAGGAGGAGCTGGGCTGGGTGTGCGGGGGGCCGACGGGGACGATGCGGGAGCCGAACTCGACGCCGATGGTGACGTCGTGATGGGGAGAGAAGCGGCCCTCGCAGAGGCGGATGGTGAGGCTAGACTTGCCGCATCCTGAGTCGCCGATGCAGACGAGCTTGGCGATGTAGTCCCAGGGCGACGAGGACATGGGAAGGAAGCTCGGGGGCGGGCCCGGGGGGAGGAAGATGGGGGATGGGGGGGGGGCTCAGAGGGAGGCACGGGGAGGTGGACCTGTCAAGGCAGTCGTCGTGCTCGTGAGTTGGTCGTTGCTCTCTTGGTGGTTGTGTCGTCGTCGGATAGGGAGTAATGGATGGATCTGTCCTCCAGGAAAAGCACGGGAACTGAGAGAAAGGGGAAACGCTAGCGTCCGGCCTTGCAATACACACAAAGATAGAAACACGATGAAGAAGCGTTAGAAAGATTGAATCGCCAAAAAAGTGAAAACAACTGTTGGGCACGGGTCAGATCATGGTTCGGGTCGTCGTCGATGTCACGAGCGAGACATGGAATCATCCTGATGGCCCCAATGCTCCATAGGCTGGTGACCGGTCGGCGCCCCAGTTTCGATTCCAGGGCCCCACTGGGGTATCGGGTGGGAATCTACTACGGCCGGTGCTGCTATCAGTGACGCAAACAGGCGATAACAGCGCGGTCATCCCCCTCAGGCCGCAGCGTCGCATGGGTATGTCCTGTGCCCGACCGAGTGTCATGAGCGGGGAGAAACTCTAAAAATACAGAAGGCGAGAGGACCAGCGGGCGCAGGAACGACCACAGCAGGCCAACCGAACCATGGGAAAGACGAGAATCGACATGCGACGGGAGAATTGCGTGCATCCTCAACGCCGGCCATGGAGATAGGACCCAGGCACTAGAGTGGTATCGAGTCCTGGACCCGCAGAGATATGGGCTTTCCAGGCTGCCGAGTCCACTATCACGCTGACAATGTGCCTATCGACCAGGTACCCAGGATCCACGATGGGGCGAGGCGGTGACCGCCTACCGCGTTGGTGCGTCGATGTCATCTAGCCGCCTCGGACGGGTAACTCATCTGCCTGATGGACTCAGTCACACAGTAACCCGCTCTGCTCTGTCATGGGACAAAGGAAGCGAATACTGCCCCCGTACTCGATTCATCCCTCCCTCCTGGCCGCCTCTGCACGTAGAAGCTTTTGTCCGAGGCTGCTGTTCCTAAAATTTATCCTTTCAGTTGGCATCCATCTTACAAACCTTGTTTGAAAGCCTCCGTCCCCCGCCCCAGACAATCCCCGGCGATACATCATCCCAAGTCTGCCTAATTCTCTCTACTTATCAGCATCACCGTACGCAATCATCGAGATACCAACATTTCTGCCCGAGAGAGCGGGGCGGCGGTTGGTGAAGGGGCAAATATGTTTTCAGAATGTATGGTACAATGACGCAACGGTGCAATGGGTGTTTGTGACGGCTAACGATTGCGTGCGCAGATGCATCACGGTTTCTGGCCCAGTCCCAGTCCAGGTTCTCCAACTTTGGCGGGCAGGCCGACAACGAGAGCGTTTCCCAGCTACCCCGACAGAACGAACGGAACTCCCCGCCGCGGCGAGGCAACAACACCGCGGGCACAACTCATCGATCATTCCTGGCGCGAGCGGCCTACGGCGGGAACCCGTACCAGCAAGCGGGCGGCGGCTCACGGTTCGGCAACCTTGCGTTCGCGTCCAGGGCATCGGCAGCACATGATGCACCGCTCTTTCACAGCACTTTAGACGAGTTCAGAGAGGAAGACGACGAGCAGGAGCGGGATAGGGAGGCTGCTGACCTCCTTGCGCTGCAAAGGTCTAGGCGGGTTGCCGCGGCTACAAAGTTGGCAGAAAGTACCGAGTCCGAGGGAAATAGTCGGGGCTCTCTGGATGACAGCGCGCATCACGAAGGGCCTTATCAGCATCGAGGATTAGGCCGAGGTATCAAGAGCAGTTGGAATGGCCTACGGAGTTCGCACAGCCCTCACGTACCAAGCGGTGTGCTCGAGGAGGAGGAGGTGGAGGAGGACACGCGACCCAGGATATATGGCGGCGCCAAATTAAGTCCGGATAGTAAAGGGAAGATGGTCGACATCGGTCTAGAGTCACAGGCTGATCCCGACGAAGATCCGCCGGCCTCACTCTTTGGCGAAGCACCAACCGATTCGAGCCCCCCAGCGTTTCAGCGTTTCAAGTCGGAGCGGGCACCCTTCTTGGACAGGTCAGTCACGAACGATACCGACCAAAGTCGTGGCGCGCCGGCGTCGATCGCAGAGGATGAGCCAGCCCAGCAAGCCACGGCATCTCCGGAGGGAGAAGTGTTTTATCACGACCAGTTCTTCGCCTGGATTTTCCTCATCAGCTTCGCCGCCATGATGTCGACGTTTGTATTGGTATGGCTAAATACGGGATCTCGGAGCAGTCCGGTTGGAGACACCATCTACGCAACGCTGCAGAAGTCTTTCAACATGTTGGCTGTTGACACCATTGTTGCCATCTTTGTATCCTTTATCTGGCTGGCATCCCTAAGGTCATTCGTCCGTCCCCTGGTCAACGTCATCCTGATCGCCGTGCCGGTGATCATGCTTTCATTTTCGATCTATTCCTTCGCGTCGTCTTTCAAGGGACGAACGCAGGGAGCGAGCTTTCAGGATTCAGTCATGCGGTGGACATCGCTGGTTCCTGCCGTGGGTTGCATCCTATGGATCTGGCTTGTGGTCAAGGGACGAAGGTCGATCCAACAAGCGGTCGAAATTCTCCAGTTTTCCAGTCGAATTTTGACACAGAACTCGGGACTGTTCCTCGTCGGATTCGGTTGTCTAGCTCTCATCGTGGTCTGGACTTGGATTTGGCTGGGAATGTTCACCCGGGTCTTCATGGGCGGATATTTCTCGAAGAGCAGTTTCAAGTTTGTGATTCAGCTGTCAAGCTGGTGGCTCGGCGCGGGCTTCATTTTGATGTACATGTGGACTCTGTCGGTGATCAACGCCATTCATAGGGCTACAACTGCTGCGACGGTTTCGCAATGGTACTTCCACCGTAACGCAGCTCCGGGAACTCACTCGCGGGAGATTGTGACTGCCGCTCTTTTCCATGCTTTGACCACCATCTTCGGCAGCATCTGTCAATCAACTCTGCTTTCACTACTTGTCCGAGCACCGCTCATCTTCCTACCGAGACGGCTTGGGTCCATCATCTCCAACCTGGCCGCCTTCTGGATCCCGACGCCAATCATTGCCCTGACCAACCCGTTGACCGTCACGTATTCAGCCATCCACTCTCAGAACTTGTCTACCTCAGCCCGTGGATTGGGACAAATGGATGTCATCTCTTCAGCCATCCCAACAACGACTCTAACTCCGCAAGCGCTAAGGATGCGAGGGCATGCAGGCACTAGTCTTCTTCCTTACCGTCTTGCGAAATTGCTTCTAGTGGCCACGCGCCTCATCATGGCTACAGGTTTGGGTTTTGCTGGTTGGGTGATTACGGCCAAGCAGCTTCAAATTCAGCTACCAGATGGCATGGGAATGCGAGGTTCCGCTTACGCGTATGTTGTTGGTATCATGGCCAGTTTCATCGGCTACTCAGTGATGGGTGCCATGGAGGGCATTCTCAGTGGTATTGTAGATGCCGTTCTCATCTGCTACGGCAGCGAAAGGCGCATGGAAAGGGGGCATGGAAGATTCTGCCTCGAGGCGGCGTACCTCTTTGGAGAGAGAAGGCTGGGAGACTCGCGTGAATATGTGTAAGGATTGAAGTGTTTATTATCGGGCCCAGGCGCATTCGTTTTCTTCTCTTTTTTTAGGCACAAGGACTGCGGTTCTTATCGGCCTGTACAATCAGCGCAAGGAGTTGTTCTCTTTTGTTCTTTTTCTTTAAATATAGAGTTTGACATGGGACTGGACTGGACATGGTCAATCTATCTGGATGCTCATTGGAAATTGGTACAAGCGAATACAGTCAAATACGATTTTACATTACCTCATTTTGCTGCACCCAGGACTGATATGTGCATTTGAACTCTTTTTTTTTTTTTCCCTCCTCGCATGTCATCAAACCTTCCGAAGAGAGCTTGGTGGCAATGTGTTGCATTGTGGCTGCAGATCTAAGACAAGACACCGCGGCATGTTTCCGCTGTGATGGCCCTAGCAACTGGTGACAGAAATGAGACATCAGATTGATCAGATTAAAGAGCGATTATGAGCGTTCGTTTCAGTTTCTACGATAATTACAGTAATAAGCAGTATGAAACGATATAAACTAACAATCTCTGGTATATTATTCACCCTCATTAATAGGACCACAGTGATCGCGGCTTTGGAAATAATATCTGAGTGTCTCAACTCCAATGCCGCCTTGTAAGTGCCAAGCATTGGCACTGCGCAATTGGGTGCCGCCACTGACATCCATGAGTTACGCTGCAACACCACTCACTGAAAAGATATGTGCGGATCGAGACTTCAAAAGTCCCTATCTGAGTAGTAGAGTGCGAAATTCAGGGCCAGGGTTCGGCATCAAAATGCCCGATTTATTTCCTATGCGAGTCCAAGGCATTGGGTTCGGGTCGGTTGGGCTCCGCGCACGCAACCGAAGGATCGCGGCAAACATGAAGATATTTGGAGAGATCAGACCAGCAGAATGCCTGGCAGAGGGCAAAACTGGCAGACGCCCCGCCGACATTCGTAATGCCGTTGCAGCGGTGCCCACTGCCCTACCAGGCTGATTACGACCCTTGATCTCGCCCAAGGCAGAGAAACCAACAGCGGGGTCCAGGCAGGCGACAGGCCCTTGCTCTCTCTCTCCCCCGCGATAGTTCCGCCAAGCTTGGGTAGTCTGATGGCTCTGGAGGCCTGAAGAACCAATACCTCGACCCTCTTCAACCTCATGACCGTCACGCCAGCATATTTCGCGAGCGCGTTTTTTTGGATAGTGCGCCGCCGCCTCGGCCTTTAATCTCTCCCCTCTCATTTGAATCCTCCGTCATTCTCCCCAGCTCGCCTCGTCTCTGTGCCGCCGACCGCCAGAATGGACAAGAACTCTCCGCCAGAGGTTCCCGCCGGCTGGGCAGCTCGGTGGAACGATCAGTACAACACCTGGTGAAGCTCCCCTCGCATTTCCTCGCTCGCGAAACTGGCGAAATCAACCCACAGCATACTGATTGTTTCATTTCCTCGCTTCAAGGTTCTACGTTAATCTCACCACCAAGCAGTCGCAATGGGAGCTTCCGACGGGCCCCAGTCCCGCCCCCGCGCCTGCGACCCCGAATCCAGCACCAACTCCGGCTCCAGCTCCAGTCCCAGCGCAGACACCGACTCCTGGGCCTGGCGCTCCGTCAGATCTGCCTGCTGGGTGGGTTTCACGCTGGAACGATCAGTACAAGACTGAGTGAGTACCAAGGGGGGAAAGACATGGCAAGGGAAGATTGAGGTTTTGGAGGCTGATACCGTCATCTCTGGCCTGCCAGGTTCTACGTCAACACCGTTACCAAGCAGTCGCAATGGGAACGCCCAACCGTACCTGCGACGCCGGTCGCTGCCGCACCTCACCCAGCTGCTGCCACGCCCCCAGTTGCTGCCACTCCTCCCGTCGCAGCTACGTCGCCGTTTGCTGCCGCCCATACCCAGGCCGACCCCAACCAGGGTATGCCGAATATCGGGTCTCTGAATATCTCCCAGCAGAGCTCTCCACAGCCTCAGAGTGCCCCCGCGGTCCCTGGGGCACCAGAAGTGCCTGCCGGGTGGGCTGCTCGTTTCAACGACCAGTATCAGACCTGGTATGACTCTACCCCTCACAGAGGCCGCGAATCTATCTTCACGGGCAGGTGGCAGGAGAAAATAACGAAGAGAGCTGACAAGTGGAAATTATGGCAGGTTTTTCGTGAATCTGTATACTAAGAAATCTCAATGGGACAAGCCTACGGCTCCCGCAACGCCGGCCAGCGAGGCCCAGAGCATTCACACACCACAGCAGCAGCCTGCTCATATTGCTCCCCAACCTGCTCCTCAACCTGCTCCTCAGCCTACGCCCCAGCCTGCGCCTCAACCTACCCCCCAACCTGTCCAACCCACTCCCCAGCCTGTTCAGCCTACTCCACCTGCGGCAAACAACCCACCTGGTGCACCGGAGGTTCCTGCGGGATGGGCAGTTCGGTTCAACGACCAGTATAAGACCTGGTAAGTTATGAATCTACTCGGGCTTGGCATGTTGGGTGAGTGTGAAAGCTAACACGAGGTCACCTCAGGTTCTTCGTGAACACATTCACCAAGAAGTCTCAGTGGGAAAAGCCAACGGCCCCGGCAACGCCCGCCAGTGAGAGCCAGAGCCTTCATACTCCTCAGCATTCTATTAGCTCTGCCTCCCGCCCTACCTCTCCCTCGGTGAACAATCCTGTCGGTGCTCCAGAAGTCCCCGAGGGATGGGCAGCTCGATTCAATGAACAGTACAAGACATGGTAAGTTGACTCATTGCAAGAACGACACCTAAGTGCATAGAGAAGCTCGCTGACTTAAGGCATAGGTTCTATGTGAACACCTTTACAAAGAAGTCTCAGTGGGACAAACCAACTGTTCCTGCCACCCCTGGCCCAGATTCTCAGCAATTTGGCAGCCCAGGTGCTGGTCAGCCTCAACAAGCTCAATTCCAACCTCAACCTCAGCCTCAGCCCCAGCCTCAGTCTCAACCCCAGACTCCATTCCAGCACCAACCTCAACCACAACAACATCAGTCTCCAGTAACCCAGAGCCCTCAAATCCAACACCAGCCTCAACCACAGGTCCAAGCCCAATCCCCATTTCAACCCCAGGGTCAGGCCCAATCCCCATTCCAACCCCAACCTCAACCCACTCCCCCAGCACCAACTCAGCCTGGTGCGCCTGAAGTGCCTGAGGGATGGGCGGCTCGGTTCAATGCCCAGTATCAGACTTGGTAAGTCCTCTCCTAGAGGAACTTAAGTTCATTGAAAGCAATATCTAACCAAAGTATCAATTGATAGGTTTTATGTCAACCTTGCCACTAAGCAGTCCCAGTGGGATAAGCCAACAGCGCCAGCAACTCCTGGTCCTGGAGCCCAACCTGGAGTTGCCCCTGGCGTCGTACACCAGCAGCAGCCTCAACAACCTCAGCAGTTCCAGCAATCCCCACAACCTCAGCAGTCTCAGCAACCCCAACAGTTCCAGCAACCTCAGTCACCTCAACAGCCTCAGCAACCTCAGCAACCACAACAGTTCCAGCAACCTCAGCAACCCCAGCAGCCCCAGCAGCCCGGCGCTCCTCAAGTTCCTGAGGGATGGGCAGCTAGGTTCAATGACCAGTATCAAACTTGGTAAGATTCATCTTTGGCGTATGACGAGCCCACAACTAACTAAGCGCTAGGTTCTACGTAAACCTACATACCAAACAGTCCCAGTGGGATCTTCCAACCGCCCCCGCTGTCTAAAGAGCTTGTTTCCAAAGGATGAAGAACTCACCCGGAAGTACCGGGCCAAGGAGAACATGTCCAATCACCCGTATGTTCCGCATCCTATATTCAACATCATTTTACGTGTCTCTTGTGGACATTGTTAAGCTAACGTGGTTTTCACAAGTAGATTTCACCCGATGTTCCGACTATGGCTTGATGATTGCTGATGACTTGCCACATCGTACCTATACGGGAATTACCAGTCTATATTATCCGGGTTGGCCGCCCAAGTAGGTGGTTTGTCATGAGAAGCAGATATTTCGTTGTGGTAATGAAACCGATGACTATGGTGACCGCTTCTATCTTCATCCCTTATATTCGTACAGATACAAAGATGATATATGGCCAAAAGGTGGCTATAGTCTGATGAGACAAAGATACAATTTTCACTCATAGAAATACCCATGGTCATACATACATTCATATCAAACACCGATATCTACATGAAACTATCTATCTTCAATTTCCCATCCGTACAATTGATTCGCCTTAGAAAGGGCGATTTTGAACGGATGGACAAGCATCGGTGTATTCTTTTAGGTGATAGCTGATGATAGATGACCCGGGGTAGACTTTCATAACCATGGACTATTCAATACCGTTTTGAAACCTCCCATCGCATTTTACCTTCGTACTCCCTGTGACTTTTTGCCTCCGTTGCCGTCTTCCTTGTTGGATCCAGCAAGGTATCCAGCCATGTCGAACGAGCCTTGGTCACGGCTACCGCCACCGCCCATCAGGGCGCTCAGAGGGCCCTCGGCCTGTCTGGCCTCGAACTCAGCCTTCATCTCTGGGTCCACTAGAATTGATGTGTTAATAGAACTGTGTTATATAAGGCTGTAGTAGGGGTTTGGCTTACTGTTCTCCATGATCTTGGGCATGCCGATGAAGATGCCCATGCTGACGAGACCCATCAGGATCATTGGGTTCTTCAAGATGGTGAGAACCGAGACTAGATTTGAGAGGGTCGAGTCAGTAAATTAAATTCACCCATTGGGACAAAAGGACAGCCGTGTGCCCAGGAACCGAGGGGCGGAACTCACACTTGGGCCGCTCCTGGAAGTAGTTCTTCTTGATGAGGAACCTGGCCTCGACGGCCCCGCCGTCCTGCACGGGGATGGCCTCGCCGCGGTTCCCCCAGTCGTTGCCGCGGAAGGTCTCCCAGGCTTCGACCTTTCCGTCGGCGGCGACGTCGACGCGGAGGGGCTTGAAGGTGTCGGTGGCGCAGTGGATGTCGACGAGGTAGGACCCGGGCGCCGTCACGTTCTTGAAGACGAAGGTGTTGAGGGAGGAGATGGGGGCGGAGTAGTGCTCGCCGAGGGAGTCGAGAGTCGCGCGGGTGCTGGGGGGCAGCGACCACGGGTTGGGCTTGGAGGGGAGGTAGAGGGTGAGGTCGGCGGCGAGGGCGCTGGCGATGAAGGCCAGCAGGCAGGCGGCTTCGAGGCGCATGTTGAGTGGTAGTGTTGGTGTGTCGCGGGAGGCGGGTTGGGGAGATTGGGCGACGACGACGACGGGGTCGGATAGGCCGGTGGTTGAGGTCGAGGTCGGATGGAAGCTGTCAATCGGCGACGTTGTCGACATCCAAGCTCCAGCTCACAGGATCCATGACTTGGGGGACCCACTCTGCCCGGACTTCATGATTCATCCCTCTACGTACCTTCCCAACATCAAATGCACCAGTCTCTTCTTTTTTCAGAAACTTTCCAAATTATTCATTCACGCATGTCTCTACTCGAATCATCTCTTGGCTTACTGCCTTTTACTCATTTAGGTCTCATTCCAGCAAAGATTGCAAGGTAGTGATAGGTAACAAACACATCATCGTCAACGCCAATGCCATCTCTTATCTCTTTCCAGGGGTATTGTGATCGACTCGATCTTTCCATGCCTATTCTCTCCTCCCGTCCACTTCGTCGCTATACTATTTATGTCTGGATTATCAGGAGCAAGCAACAATCTAAGCGGTCGTGGTCGCCGCCTCGGCAGCCTTAAACGACTGGTCAAAGTCGGCAATGATATCGTCAATGTGCTCGATACCGACAGAGATACGAATAAGGTCCTGTGAGTTGGACCGTTAGCAAATGTTGTATCTCCAGTAGGGCAAAACGGTGCCCCATTGGTCAATTCTTACCTCAGTAACACCTGAGCTCTTCTTCTCCCCGTCGGAGAGCTGTTCGTGGGTTGTGGTCCAGGGGCTACTGCAAGTCAGCACTCTATTTCCAAGCCGTTTTCACAACTCAGGCAAAACTCACTGGATGGCCAGGGTCTTTGCATCACCGACGTTGGCCAAGTTGGAAATCAGCTTGAAGCCGTCGACGATCTGGCTACCGGCAGCGCCACCGCCCTTGACGCCGAAGCTCAGCACACCACCAAAGCCCCTCTTCAGATACTTCTTGGCGCTCTCGTGGAAGGGGTGGCTCTCAAGCCCGGGGTAGGACACCCAGCTTACGTAGGAGCTGTTCTCGAGGTACTTGGCCAGTGCGAGGGCGTTCTGGGCATGCCTCTCCGCACGCAAGCTCAGGGTCTCGATTCCAAGCAACAGCTGTTGGGCGGCAAAGGGGTTGAGGGTGGCGCCGAGATCTCGGAGGGTCTCTACTCTGGCGCGGATGATGAAGCTGATGGGGCCAAAAGTGTCCCAGAACTTGAGGCCGTGGTACCCCTCGGATGGCTCGACGAACTGGGGGAAACGCTTGCCGTGCTTTCCCCAGTCAAACTTGCCGGAGTCGACAACGACACCGCCGATGGTGGTTCCGTGGCCGCCAATCCACTTGGTGGCAGAGTGGACGACAATGTCGGCTCCATGGTCAATAGGTCGGATGAAGTAACCTCCAGCACCGAAGGTGTTGTCCACCTTGAAAGCTCCCAAGTTAGCAACAGCAACTCCCCCGGATCTTCTATAAAACATACCACTAGAGGGACACCCTTCTCGTGGGCAACCTTGGCAATGGCCTCGATATCTGGGACGTTGTATCGTGGGTTTCCAATGCTCTCGATATAGACGGCCTTGGTCTTGTCGTCAATGGCAGCGGCAATGTCATCGGGGTTCTCGCCGTCGACGAACTTAGTGCTGATGCCCAGGCGCGGGAAGAAGACTTTGAACTGGTTGTAGGTGCCGCCATACAGGTTCGTGGTGGAGACGATGTTGTCACCGGCTTGAGCCAGAGTCGCAATTGCGATGAATTGGGCTCCCTGGCCTGAGGAGGAGGCCAGGGCAGCTACACCACCCTCAAGCGCAGCTATGCGCTTCTCGAAAACATCGACCGTGGGCTATTGGGGGGGTCGCGTGTAAGTACACGACCCACGTTGTATTGCGCCGAGGTTGTAGAGCAACTCACGTTCATAATACGGCTGTAGATGTTGCCGAACTCCTTGAGGCCGAATAGCCTAGCTCCATGAGCCGAGTCATTGAAAGTAAAGCTCTAGAGTTTGAAGCCAATTCGTTAGCTTAGAGCTGTGATTTTGGGTGTGGTGTACTGGGATCGAATCTTGTCTCACAGTGGTTGCATAGATAGGTACCGCACGACTCTTGGTCGTGGGATCCGGCTCGGCACTTCATACGGCTGTTAGCTATTTCCCATCTACATGTGCGTTATTCCGGTCAAGAATGGCAGAGCATTGCGACATTGCCAATGCCAGCCCGAACGACTCTGTGATCATCACTTACCCGGCGTGAAGCTGGAGGGTCTCAAAGTTCTTGCTCAGATCCGACATTGTGAAGATCTTCAGAAAGCCTGCGTAGGACAGCTAGAGGAGGGTTTGGGGGAACAGGATATGGAGGGGGACGGGACGAGACAGCGCCAGCGGAGGAGGACGACCAAGAAGGTTTAATAGTGGGAGGGCTGAACGTTCCTCCCGCTCAACCGTCACTCATATCAGGCGAGGGGTAGTGCAGCTCACGCAATGAGGCACTTGTTTGGCCGGTCACTAATTTCAAGACATGATTTCTATTACCAGCTCGCACCTTGGCCCGCCATACAGACCTCATTCTCCCATCGCAAACCCCCCACCATCCCACCGCGGTCCAACTCCGACCGCGGCTTGGACACCCTCACGGGAGGGGCAGAGGCACGCTTTGAGCAGAGCACGTCATCGGCCTTGCCCATATCTGGCGCCATGTGAGGACGGTATCCCAGACGAACGTATGGCAATCGCGACGAAACCCGACCTAGTGCCAGAAGGATGTCGGGTCGATGGTGTGATTGTCCCCAATAATGATGGGAGAACCCTGCGTGGCGCTATGGGGTGGGATGGGGCTCGCTAATGGGAGCCGATCCAGGGCTGCTTCTGCTGCTTACACGACTAGCCTGTCCCGCGAGCCTCGAAGAAGCACATTAGAAGACAGCCGCGGGCTCTACATCTACACGGCATAGGCCCTTGTTCTCTTTCTCTATACTTAGTGCAGAGTATAAAGGTTGCTGTGGATGCGGAGCGTGTCCAATGACTGACAGCCCTTGCAGGAACCCACGAGGCTTGGCTGCCTACAAAATTGAATAAACGCGGAGATTACATGATTATTGAGGTAAACTCGAACGACGAGGAGCGAACACAGCATATCATACCCGTAAGCCAGTATTTTCGTATTGATTCCCTCAGTACGTATAAACGCCGCCACTCGGAACGGGATTAGTCGCATTGGGCACACACCCAAATACTAACTCACCTACCCCGCGTTTATCGTTTATCCTCCCTTCGATTGCAATATATGCCAGCCTCATAGGTCACCCTCTTCATTCAGCTTTCATTAAAAGATATCACCCGTAAGAATAAAGGTCATCACATCCCCCGTACCCTCTGAATGCAGAGATTGGGGGGTCCAGGTTAAATTGACCTCTGTCTCTTCAAAATATCAGCCTCAGATCCCACGGGATAAAGCTAATCAGACAAGTATAATACTCCTGGGCCGGGATAATAAACATGAAAGAGTCATAAGCAATTAGGCATCTAACACATATCAACGCACCGATGTGGCTCATAGCCATCGGTGACGAGTCTTTTTTAATTTGCCCGAACACATCCAAGACATTTCACTAGGCCGTTCCAGAAAAGAAATAAAAAAAAGAACAAAGGAAAAAAGAAGGAGAAAGCCGAAGAAGAAGAAGAAGGAAAAGAAAAAGAAAAATAGAGGGGGCAGAAGAAAGGGCCGATGAAAAAGGCCTCGTGGTATCACATGGTCGTTGGACTATAGAGAAGCGAAGAAGAAAAAGAAAGGACAGGACTCGAGCATTCCGGACCCCCTACACCTCGCTCATGGGCGTGTCCGACCCCGACTGCGGCTCCCGGTCGCCCTTGAGGCCCTCCCGCGAGATCTTCTTGGCGAGCAGGATCGTCGACGCTATCCAGGAGGTGAACTCGGCGGCGGCCAGGATCGACGTGGCGCGGGCGACGGCGCACACCGAGCCCGTGCAGTAGACGAGCTTGGCGAGGAAGATGGCGAGCGCGATGAAGCCCGTGAAGTAGAATATCGTGTTGGTCGCCTCGATGGCCAGCAGCATGAAGGGGTGGCAGCCTTGCGGGAAGCGTTTTGGGGCGAGTTCCAGGTATATGATGGAGAGGATGGAGAAGGCCGGAGCGAAGGTGAGGAAGTTGAGGGATGTTGGCGATGGCATCGGTGAGCGTAGTAAGTACCAATTGATAACTGCGAGCGAAGAATGGAGTCAGTACGGCCAATTTCCCCGTTTACTCTTCATTTTCCCAATTTCAAGGGCCAGCCATCACAGATAGATACAGGCCACTGCCTGTTGTCTTTGGCATAGCCTCGTCTTAGAGGGAGCAACCTACCGAGTGACGATAGGACAAGATTCGTCAGGGCAGCCACGCCCTGCAAAAACCTCAGGATCACAACGACAGTTCTATCCATCTTGAAGGTGTCGTCAGAGGCGGCCGGCCTGCGGTCTTCGGCGGGCTGCAACGAGTGCTTCGTAGGCGGAGGCGCTGGTAGTGCCAGGAGACTCATATGTAGAGCTATCCCCGGACACCGTTGAACAGAGAGGGAGAAGTGCGAGCAAGGCAACTATAAAATGAACAAAGCCACGCCGATTTGTAGACAATCTCAAACGGCACAAACACGTGCTCTCTCTCTCGAAGAGGGGAAACCGAGTCGAACTGGGCAGGAAGGGAGTATAAAAGCGAGATAAAGAGGAACACAAGGGAGGGTCATAAGAGACAGGCAGGTCATGGAACGTTGATCATATAGAAGAACCAGATGCTTGGGAATGGGCGGATGGGTCAACCCGCTTCCTTTTGAACCAGTTGCCCAAAAATCGAGACCCAACCCTCCTCGAACTCCAGGAGAGGTCTTTTGGCGATGGCACGGCTCATCGGCATGTTCTATACCGGGCCTTTCTTCTCTAAAATTTCCCTCCCCTTTCTCACCTTTCCTCTCTACTATCCCCCAGCCTGCACTTGATCGGCACTCGTCTGAGACCCAGCAGCCAGTGTGAAACTGTGTGTTCCAGGGGGAATAAAAGCGGCCGACACCGACGGCAGCCATACTGGAAACCATCTAGCTTCCGTGCCAAGCTGACGGTGAGAAGCGCGATGATCTCTCCTAGGCGAATGCGAACCAAAGGCGGGAGAGGATAATGGGCAACGTGGGAAATTGTGAAGGGCAACAGATTGGCTCGGCCATTGAGGCGGCCTTCCGCCTCCCGAGACGACCTGGAGGGATAGAGGCGCTTGTCGACGGCTCGTAATGAGAGATATGCATGTTTCTAAAAATTGACCACAAAGACCCCACGTGAACTTGATACATTCGCACGATGGTTCCGCCGAACATTGCTCGAGTTGGCCTAGCTGTGTGGGCGCGAGGTGAGACATTGTGATGAGATAGTGTGGTGGGCAAATGGCAGGAATGCAGAATGGAAGGCTGAGAGTGAAGATGATCCGGCAAATGTTTGATTAAGGTGCAGATGTTCTCCTGGTTTGTCTGGAGATGGGGTTTCCCTCAGCTGGGTTGTGTCTGTATTAGGAGACAAGCGAGATGAAGTTGCTGCTATCATCAGTCATAACTCACTCAATGTAGGCGTGTGTGGTCGGATAGGAAGGAAGGGAGTTGTCTCTTTTCCACATTATTTCCTTTCTTTTGGCCTAGCCTTGGACGGTCTTCATTTTCCCCTCCTCTCAGCTCGGCTTGTCTCAGTCCGTCTGCGAGTTGAAGGTGACTATGCTGCTAAACGTTAGGAATTCGGAGTGTTTCTCACTCCTCATTGACTCAATGCCACCTCGGTTTGATCATCGAATACTACGGTAGAACGTGGCAGCAACAAAGATTGGAAAGACCCTTGCTCGATAGGCACGACTGAGGCACGCAATGGCTCCGCACATGCAGAGCTTGCAGGGTTTGTTATATGTGATGGACCAGCACATCTCCAAATCGCAATGTTATAGGGTAAGAACCAGCAGTGGCGTTGAGTTAAGCTTGCGCATCAATGCAGCCAGCTGCACATTCGCAATAGTCCAGTTTGTGGTCTAGACAGACTCAATCCAGGTTCAATATTGCCTTTACCCTTGTGAGGTAAGCCTACTTTGTAAGAAACTTGTCATCGGGACATGTCAGCCCACCCAACTTTCCCCATGGGACGGACTCCTTGTTGCGGCGAATCGCTTATGGCATCGAATCTCCGTACCCACCTACCGAAGCTCCCGGATCAATAAGACTGTGGATAGTGATTCTAATGTTGGGAACGGGACAATTGATGGCAGTATCTCGGGGGATATCAGCGCAACAGGTTCGTTCTGTGTTGCGGCCAGCCCAATCAAAAGCCCTTCAGTAATGAAAATCAATAAGCACTCGTGCAGATCATCTTTGCGCCACAGCTGATGGGCTAGTACCAAGGAGGGTGAGCCAAAAGCAAGCATTGTAGGCTCCGGCTGGAGTGAGTACCAATCGCATTTATCGTGTTTGTCCAAAGTGAGGAGACAATTTCCCCAATAGTGGGCGCCCGTTGACTTCCCAGGCCCTCAGGAAAGTGTCGTGAAGTCGCACCCATAAGCTGGGGTTGAGAGAGTATTTTCACATGCCCGTGGATGACCTGCTAAATCTTGGCTGGTGGATAGCCGAGTGAACAAGCGCACGCATTACGGGCACGGCAATCGCCAGTCCCCCGCAAAACCCCGTTTAGATCCATCTGTGACCATTGTGGAAATTTAGGTGCTTATCAGACCAAAGGTCAGATGGCACGCCGTCGAAATCTGTGTGTGACGGGCCAGAACTGAGGCACGCGCATGTGCTCGCGTGGCAGTCCTACAATACCACCCACCCACAGAAGCCGCGCTGTGGTTCCTCGGTCGCGCTCTGCTCAGCTGCGTCAGGTAGGTACGCGGGATAAGCAGAGATAAGCTCGAATCCTCGCTGCCCAGACGCCAGGACCCCAGCTCCAACCGCTGGCCTGCGGGCTCCTGCGGCTTCCCCGGGTGCGTGCGACAGGAATGCAGGCGAATCAGGTCCTCCGCTACGGCCCCTACGGCGCTCCTCCAGAGCACAAGAGCCTCGTTACTGCGCTGCAACTGCAACTGCCGCCAGGTGGCTCCCTCAACGACGCTAGCCATAGCCTCAGAAATCTGGGGCTGCCGAGGCATCTGGGCCAGCTGGGCCTAGCAAGCCTCCTAGGGGCCGAGGCCCTGGCTGCGTCGTCCCCATCCCAAGCTCCGTTGTTAGTAGGTTTAAGGTAGGTCCGTCGCTGGCTTTCCACTGTTAATATCGCCTTGGCTGCATCCATCCTTGCCCCTACGTAGGATTCTCCCAGCGCGCCCATCTCCCTCCCTCCTTCACTCTCGCCATCCTCTCCCTCCCACTGCTTGTTTTGTTTTGGCTGTACCAGGAGAACTCACACAGTCTACCTCGCCTGTCGTTAGATACGGAGAAAAGGGGTTTATATTGTCTTTGTTCCTGGTCCCCAGCTCCGCCGTGGCCCTCTCACGCCTCCTACCGAAAACCTAGTCTCGTCGCCGCACCGGGACGTCTACCAGGCCTCTCTCCCTCACAAACGACCCTCGTCCTTCGATATGTCGCCAAAAGACACGGTAGCGCTCGTCAAGGAGCTCAGCCAGCCTCCTCCTCCGGGCTCCCCTTACGGAGTGCCCATCCCGGGGTCCGAGCGTCCCAATCGATCTCCCGTTTATCGCCATTTCCAATTCCGCGATAAGCCACTCCTCTCAACCCTCGACCCCGAGCACCAGACGCTGTACGATCTTTTCGAGAACTCGCTTCGCAAGTTTCCCAACAAGCGCTGCTTGGGCAAGCGGAACTGGCTTCCGGCGACCAGCTCGTGGGAGGAGAAGTTTGACTGGCTCTCCTTCGGCCAGGTTGGTGAGCGCAGAAAGAACTTTGGAGCTGGAATTGTCGAGATTCACAACGCCATCAACCACGGAAAGGACAAATACCCTGTTGGTATCTGGTCGCAAAACCGACCTGAATGGCACATTGCTGGTGAGTGGGCAAACTCTACTGCCCGTACATCTTAGCAAGCGCGGGCTAATGAACTAACCAATCGTATTACCACTTTTTAGACCTTGGCCTGACTTCTCAGTCTCTTTTCTCCGTATCCCTTTACGAAACTTTGGGACCCAATGCGAGCGAGTACATCGTCAACCATGCGGAGCTTGCCTGCATTGTCTGCTCGCTGCCTCACATCCCTACCCTCTTGAAGCTTGCGCCCCGACTACCAACGCTGAAGCTTATCGTGTCCATTGATTCGCTCAATGAGGGCGAGATGGCCGGACACTCCAAGGCCGCCATTCTCAACGATCTGGCGGCCCAGCACGGCATCAAGATCTACTCCATGACCGAGGTGGAAGAGATTGGCTTGAGGTCAGGACGTCCAGCACGCCCTCCGGGTCGAGATGACATCTGCACCATCAACTACACATCCGGTACTACCGGTAACCCCAAGGGTGTTGTTCTGACCCATGGGAATGCTGTGGCTGGCGTGGCAGGCGCCCGGTGCATGGGCGCTGTTACCCACAAGGACAGCCACTTCTCCTACCTGCCGCTTGCGCATATCTTCGGCCGACTTATGGACAACTTGGCCCTCGCTGAGTCGGCTTCGATGGGCTTCTTCCACGGTGACATGTTGGGCTTGGTGGATGATCTTAAGCTCTTTAAGCCCACCAGTTTCCAGTCGGTTCCCCGACTGTACAACAGGTTCAACTCAGCTATCCGAGCTGCAACAGTGGAGGCGGAAGGTTTCCGGGGTTCTCTCTCGCGCAGGGTCGTTGATACCAAGAAGGCTAGCATGAAGCTGCCTAATGGCAAGGGCCATGCTTCTCACTTCCTCTATGACCGAATCTGGACCCCCAAGGTCAAGGCGGCTATCGGTCTGGACCGTGTTCACAGCATGGTCAGTGGTAGCGCCCAGCTTGACCCTGATGTCCAGGAGTTCTTGGGGGCCGCAACTGGCATCCGTTTCTACCAAGGCTATGGTCTTACGGAGAGTCACGCGGTCGGCCTCGTCCAGCACACCAACGACTACAGCACCGGCAACATTGGGCCCCCAATGCCTTGCACGGAGATCTGCCTCGAGTCTGTGCCTGAATTTGAGTACACTGTGCACGACAAGCCCAACCCTCGAGGAGAGCTTCTGCTCCGCGGACCTACCATCTTCAAGGAGTACTACAAGAACCCCGAAGAGACCCAGAAGGCTCTTGAGCCTGATGGCTGGTTCCACACCGGTGATATTGTCGAGATTGACAGCCTGGGCCGTGTCAAGATTATCGACCGCAAGAAGAACGTTCTCAAGCTCTCTCACGGCGAGTACGTCTCTCCAGAGCGTATCGAGAACGTCTTTCTCGGAAACACTGGTATTGTGAACAGCGCTTTTGTCCACGGTACCTCCAAGGAGTCCGCCCTGGTGGGTATCT